CATTTGTATATTTTTAGATTCTGTGATCCCCATACAGAATTTATAAATCCCTCCTCAGGGCTTCTATTGCACCTTGCTTTCTCTTCCATAAAGCACTTATCACAATTTATATTTTAAAAAGTTGGTTGTCCTTTATGTCCTTCTAGATAGTGAACTTTCTGAGGGCAAGGCCATGGACACAGAAGCTACTCAATAAATGCTTGAATGAATAAATTGGTCTTCTTTTCTATATCACTCATTCCTTGTTTATCTCAGGCTTCCAAAGACTTTTTGAGTCGATTAACTACTAGACTGAGGCTCTCTCTGACCCCATCTGCCCATCTATTATGTTGTGAACAACAGTTAAACATTGTCATCTTTTTGCCCTCAGAATCTTTAATCAGTCATAGGAGCTGCCAGGATGCAGAGCCAGTAAGCTCCAAAGGCCACATGTGAAGATCCAGTGTGTTAATAAAAGGTTTTGTCCACATTTGTCTGTATTTCAGAGATTTCTTCATCAGTATTCATCCTGAAATTGTTGACAGTTCACAGATGCCAAAAGACACCATGTTGTCATTGTTGTGCGCCATCGAGTTGATTCTGACTCATGGCAATCCTATTGGGTAGAGTAGAACTGTCCCATAGGGTTTCCTAGGCTGTAATCTTTACAGGAGCAGATTTCCAGGTCTTTTTTCCCGTGGAGTGCCTGCCTGGTTCAAACTGTCAAGCTTTCAGTTAGCAGCCAAGAATTAACCATTGTGCTGCCAGGGCTCGTTAGAGACCACCATAGCATCATGGAATGCTATGTGGCCTATATCAGGAGGTCTGTCCTCCTGTTTCCTAGGACAGTAATTCTCCTGTAGTTATAGTCTTGACCAACTCCTTTTAAATAAAATAAAACCATTTTTTCTTTTCCATTATTTTGATGACCAAAACCAAAAACCACACTCATTGCTATCGAGTCAATTTAGACTCATGGTGACCCTATAGGACGGAATAGAACTGCCTCATAGTGTTTCCAAGGAGCGGCTGGTGGATTTGAACTGCTGATCTTTTGGTTAGCAGCCAAGCTCTTGACCACTGCACCACCAGGGTTCCATTTTGATGACAATTCAGTTAAATTCAGTAAAATAGTGAGGAAACTGTTTTCAGGATACATTCTGTAGCACTACTTTTCATCGGCTACTGAATCTGTTGTGTGGTAGAATGATGAAGTAATCAGATTTTATCCCAAGTGCCTAAATGCCTCCCTGTTCATCTTTTCTTCCTTCCTCTGTGCTGGAATCTAGCCCATGTTGCATTCTCTCTGATTCTTAATCATGGCTAACCATTACCTATATGTCACCCCCAAGGAAATCTCCTCAGGGTATATAGAGTAAATAGTTGAAGACCTAGCAAGGCATCAGACATAGGCATATGTGACAGTGAAATGGCAAAGAGGAGACTGACCATTTTAAGCAATGTTCCTGCCCTCAAATAACATGAGGTAGGCCACCATCCTTGAGGAAGTTATGATGGATGTGGCCATAGCTAAATGATATGTAGAATGGGATAGAGAGATGACAGAGTATTCTTAAATAAAGTTTTTAGTTTCATTTATTTTTTTCCACTCTTCCTCCTTACTGCAAATACTTTTTGAGGACTTACTAGGAGCTAGGCACTGTCCTAGGCTCTGGGGAAAAGCAATGAATGAGACCAGGTTCCTATACCCTCATGGAGCATACATTCTGGTGGAAGAGAGAGATAATAAATAAGTAAATAAATAAATACGTAATTTCTGGGAGAGACTAGTATTATGGAAAAAAATATAAATGGGCAAGGGGCTAGAGATTAGGAATTATTTAGTTAAGATTGTCTTGAAAGGCTCCTCTGAGGAGGAGGTGACATTTGAGTAGAGACTGTATAATGAGGAGAAATGGAATGACATAGGGGAGCAGCTCTGGGTTTGGTGTTTCCATCAGTTAAGTAGCATGGTCTGGTTTACCATGTTTAAAGATCATACTGGCTGCTATGTGGAGACTAAACTGAAAGTAAGGAAACTTGAACGCTGAAGACCAATTCATAGACTACTGCAGTCGTGTAGATGAGTGACTGTGGTGGCTCAGATGACGTTGAGGTAATGGAGGAGGTGGTGAAAAGCAGTTGTGTTGGAATATATTTTCAAGGTAGAGTCCTGAGGATTCCCTGATGAATTTGATGTGGAGTGTGGGGGAAAGAGACACATCCAAAATGATGTCTGAGTTTTTAACTAAGAAACTGAGTGGATGGGGGTACCATCTACTGAAATGGCAATGACTGAGGGAAAAGCCAGTTGGAGAGTGGTGAGGGGCATGGGGAGGCAATCAATAGATGTGTTACATAGAAAGTGAAATTATAATTTTGCAACCACAGCAGTAACAACCAAAAAATATGGGTGTGGTTACATAGGTAGATATATATGCATGTATGTGTATAAGAAGGTATATATGTGTATATACAGGTGCATATATAAGTGTTTCTGTAGGCATATGTATATACATGTATGTGTGTGCTGCATATATATTCATATATATAATAAAGCACATAGGGGGCACAGTTACAGATACTTCCTAGACATAACCAATCACCTCATGAGACTGGTTTATTGTATTCGAGGGTTTAGGACCATAGTCTCATGGGACAGCTTTGTCAATTGGTGTAACATAGTTCATAAACTTTATGTTCTACATCCTAATTTGGTGAGTAGCATCTGAGATCTTAATAGCTTGTGACTTAATAGCTTGCAACTATTGGTCTCTACTCATCTGAGACCAGAAGAGCTAGATGGTGCCTGGCTACCCCTACTGACAATTTTGACCAGGGACACAATAGATGGCCCCAGAGATAATGGAAGAAAAATGTAGAACAAAACTCAAATTCTTAAAAAAGGCCAAACTTACTGGGCCAGTAGAGACTAAAGGAACCCCCGAGACTCTTTCCCTGAGATACCCTTTAAACTTTGCACTGAAACCACACCCGGAGGTCACCTTTCAGCTAAATGTTGACCATTTGGTCTCATATAGACAATTTTTTAAAGGAGCACAGTACTCACCGGTGCTGTCGTTTATTTTATGTGCCAGCTTGAGAAAGTGGGTTCTCTAGAGAAGCAAAACCAGTAAAGCATATAAATATATATATAGAGAGAGATTTATATAAAGGAAACAGCTCATGCAATTGTACAGACTAGAACATCACAAGTCCGTGGATCAGGGTAGAGGCCTCTCCCAATTCACGCAGCCACAGAAGCTGGCGAACCCAAGGTTGTCAGGTCGGAGAGGAGGGCTCCTGCTCACAGGCTGTGAAGGTCGACTAATTCCAAGATCGACAGGTAAGCCGCTAGCTCAAGTCCCAAGAACCGGAGGTGAGACGACAAGAGGCAGCTGCTGGGTCTGGAACAAGCCCAAAACCTTGGCAAGGCAAGCAGGAAGGAAGTAGCTGACAGAAGGCAGAGAGATGAAGGCTGAGGGGTCAGTGAACCACAGGCCCTGCCCCTGCCAGTACCACTCAGCCGATTCCATCATGGAGGTGATAACTTGTCACATTTCAACAGGGAAGTGATCACAATATTATACAACTGCCAAAACGCGGAGAATCATGGCCTAGCCAAGTTGACATACAATCTTAACCATCACAGAAGGTAAGGGGTGGGCAGGGAAGCTAGATTAATGAAACAGAAAAGCCAGAATGGAAGTAATGAGAATGTTGACACACTGTGGAAGATGTAACCTATGTCACTGAATAAATAGTATGTATAAAAATTGTTAAACGGGAACCTGATTTTCTATGTAAACTTTCACCAAAAACACAAAAAAAATTATGATAATTTTTAAAAAAATCTATAGGCAATAAAAAAGAAAGTGAAATTATAAACCCATGTCTTGCACAGTGCTAGCACATAGAAATGATTTATTAAATAATTGTAGAATGAATAAAACTGAGTAAGTAAATTAAGAGAGGGAAGGAGAGGGAGGGAGGAAGAGAAGGGAGAAAGGAGGGAAGGAGGGTGGGTAGGAGGGAGGGAGGGAAAACAGAGCCTAACTCTAAATTTTTCAAAATATGAAGGAGAACATTTGGTAAAATGATATGATGCTAAAGCCCCGGGCTAGAATTTGGGAGAACTGAGTTTCAGTCCCAGAAAATGTTTCCAAACTCAGATTTCTCATTTGAAAAAATAAGAAGATTAGACCAGGTACTCAGAGATGCCTTTTAGCTTTTATTCTAGGACCTCCCCCTTTCTTCCTCCACAAAGAATATGCTCACACACTTACTCATCCCATCCACAGACCCATAGCCCTTCCATCCCTGTGCATAAATGCAGAACTGACAGCCCTCAGTGGCAGGAAACAGCCAATCAAGAAGCTCCTCTAGCTTTGCAGCACCAACCACACCCTCCCCGCCACCACAGACCCTTAGCATACCCGAAAACTTGCTGGAGTAGGCTCCTTAGCAGTCCAGACAAATTCCCATCAGGTCAGGTCCCCAAAGGGTCTCACTTTTTAAGAACAAGGTTTCAAAGTAAGATTGGTTCATTCCACATACTGGTTGAACATGTGTTGACTGACCCCACTTACTGCTCTTACTCAGCCTTCTGGCTAGTTCTCACTGATCATCAAAGGGGAAAACCAGTTGCCTTCAAGTCAGCTCTGACTCATAGCAACCCCATGTATGTCAGAGCAGAACTGTGTTTCACAGGGTTTTCAATGGCTGATTTTTTGGAAGTAGATTGGCAGGTCTTTCTTCTGATGCACCTATGGATAGACTGATACCTCCAGCCTTTTGGTTAGCAGCTGAGCATGTTAACTGTTTGCACCACCCAGGGACTACATCACAAAGGGAGGGGGGGACAATTAGTGTGAAGAAAAAGAAAGTTAGCTTCAAAATTGGGGAAGGCACAATGAAAAATAAAAAAATATGTGTGAAAATGCTATAAAACAGCCTTGGGGTAATAGCCTTGCCTCTCAGGTTTTCACATGTTGACCAGTTTTGCACTCGCTCTTCTACAGGATTGAGGGTCCAGAGTCTGCCTACATCAACCCTCTTGCCTGTTTCTCCTTCTTCAACCATTACCCTACCGACATCCATCTGGATAACCTCACCACAAAACACTGCTGCAGCCACCGCCTCCCTTACCAGTGGCACACACAACAACTCACTACTGCCAGTGACATCGTCATCCCAAACATCTCCGCATCCCAAAATCACTTCCACAGAGACCAGAGAGGAGGAGTTCACCACGCCAGCTTCAACTTGGGAAGGCACAAGCGCAGACCCTTCACCTCCTGGATTCTTGCCAACAAGCGGTGGAGTCCGCTTAACACCCACACCTGCAGAACATAGCTCGGGCACTTCTGAAACAAGTGTGCCACCTACAGGGTCCCAGTCACCCGCTGAGTCTCCCACTCTCATCTTCTCTCAGGCTCCAGCCTCATCACCTTCATCCCCATCAACCTCACTACCTGAGGTTCCTTCTGCCTCTGTCACCTCTGACCACAGCTCAGCTGTGACCAGCACCAAGCCCTCAGGAACCCCAACCCCAGCAGAGTCCACAGCAGAGGAGCGCACCTCTGGCCACACACCCACGTTACATGCCACCACCGGGGCGGTGACCAAGGAGACAACACGCCAAGCAACTGCGCCAACCAAGGTAACCTGTGAGCTGGTAGACAGCGATGCCACCACCACCTCCCCGGGGGTGATCATGGAGGAGGTAGAACACGCACTAAGTTCAGGTGAGTCTATATCCAGAACACTAGTGCTGTTGACTATACTGAGGTGAGTCTATATCTAGAACACTAGTGCTGTTGATGACACTGAGATGAGACTGTGTCTAGAACACTGGTGCTGTTGACTACATTGAGGTGAGTCTATGTCCAGAACACTAGTGCTGTTGACTATACTGAGGTGAGTCTATATCCAGAACCCTAGTGCTGTTGATGACACTGAGATGGGTCTGTGTCTAGAACAATAGTGCTGTTGACTACATTGAGGTGAGTCTATATCTAGAATACTAGTGCTGTTGACTATACTGGGATGTTAAGAATGCAGTTTTGTTAACCAAACACAATTGATTAAGGTTGAATTTTGGAATGCAACACTTGAGCTGAATTATAATTCCACAAGAATGCAAACTTTATAGTCATTTAATAAATTTCATATAATATTTATTAATTGTGGCCAATGAATGAACTAATCAATTAATTAAACAAATATGGTTTATCTTGACATAATGTCACAGGTAAGATAAAAGAGAGAGGGTGTATAGGAAAGTGATTAACACCATGGCTTTTGGTCAAGCTTACTAGGTTTAAATTCTGGCTCCTGACCTTGAGTAAGTTATTTAATCTCTCTGTGTCTTTATTTTTCCTTATCTGTAAAATGGAGATAAAATAGGCTCTGCCACATACAGTCCTTGTGAAGATCAAATGAGATGACCTATAAAGTCCTTAGAACAGAACCTCACAGGGAATAAGTATGTCAGTTATAATTGCTCTGGAGTCCCTAGGTGGTGCAAAAGGTTAAGCGCTGTAACCTTTAGTAGCCCCCAAATTCACTTCTCTCCACTCTCAGTCTCGTGTCAAAGCTCCCTAATTCTACTGCACTCCTTCACATCTGCCCCTGTACCAGTCTCGCCCATCTTACCTGTCTCCACATACCAGCCAGAGTGACTTTTAACACACATCTGAACAAGTCACATATAACATCTCCATAACCAACATCCCATCTCCTCCTGGCATCCTGCGTTACTAGAATGAAGTCCACAGTCCTTCACTTTTCATGGCTAGTGAAGCCCTGTAGGGTCAGCCCCTGCCTGCATCTCACCCCCCTGCCCTCCTCCCTGCACCTTCTACACAGAATGTCTCTCAGTGCTATGAACCTCCTTATCTCCCTTCATTCATTCAGATGCTTCTACCTGGAACCCTCTCACAACACATAGCACAGTGCATGATTATACATTTACTCATGTGGCTTTTTGTCCATTGCTGCACTGCTTTCCCAAGTATGTGAGGATATGACCTTGTCCGTTTTGACTCACAAGTATACTCCCAGTACCTACAATGTCTGGCTTGGTGTGGGTGCTCAATAAATATTTGATGAATGAATGAATGACTTTTGGTGACTAACTATTAAAATATAGACAATACATCCACATATTTTCTTGACCTCATAAATCTGGGTTTTGAATTGAAATGAAGAAAAATTGAACACCCTCACCTGTGCACACAAAAATACCTTTTGGATATACTGTCATATCTGTAGACCATCTAAAAGGTGTTCTGCTGTTGCTAAGGGTTCCTGCCCACCCTCATTCTCACTACACGTTTCTTCTGACCCCCACTTTTGGCTTTCCTGTAGGTTTCAGGAATGGCCAGTTTATGGGTTGTTATAGAGTTTCACTCCACTTTTTCTTTTGTACCCAATTCTTTAAACTTAAGCTAAACCTCAAAGCTTGCTCAAACCAAGTAAACTCCCACAATAAGCTCCAACTGTCAGATTTTATCTTAGGTTAAAAATAGTTTGAGTTCTTGTCTCTTGTCTTATATTTCTCCTAAGATTTATTACCTAAATCTTAATCTTGTTCTTGAAATATTTCCAAAATATTCTTGGAAAAGTTATATCAAGATAATAAATAAAATCAGCTCTTTAGCATTTATGTCGTCATCTAGTAGCAAGGGAAAACTTGGAGGCATAGTGGTTAAGAGTTCGGCTGCTAACCAAAAGGTAGGCAGTTCGAATCCACCAGGCGCTCCTTGGAAACTCCATGGGGCAGTTCTACTCTGTCCTGTAGGGTCACTATGAGTTGGAATCAACTCTATGGCAATGGGTTTGTTTTTTTTTCAATAGTGGCAAGTACTATTCCATCACATATTTTAATTGTCCCAGTGTCACCTTTTATTACACTTAGACGGTTTCTGTTCCCATGGAACAATTTCATTCTTCTGCTTTACATACTTTTCACCGATCATATCTGGCCAAAGCGATTTGGGAAGTGCTTCACTGAGGAAGTGGGAGTTGGCTCATAAGCACAGCTGACATTATTGTTGATTCTGTGGCTGGTTGACTCATTGGGAAACGGATCAAAATATGCCTGACTCCATATCCAGACCTCACTCTTACCCTAAGGTTCCAACTCAAAAGAGTATGTCTTTTTAGTTACAGAATAACTGAGCAGGAAGTGACAGTGGATCAGCACCAAACCATCATCTTGATCGGAAAAGGATCTGAAGATCCCATCCCTGAGATGTTGACTCAGGAGTATCGTATTAAGAGGCACATAACGGATACTAAATTGATATGGTTCTTGGCATGCCTTGTTTCTTGATCCTTAGGAAGAAAAATATTGGTCAATAAGAGAAGGCATTTTATTTAACAGTATCTCTTGCTTTCATCATCAGACTCGTGGTCTTTAGGCTGATGACCACAGGCTGAAAAGTAAAGGTAAATTTAAGTTAAAAATCATAAAATCTCAGTAAGTCCATGGAGGTGGGCCATCAAAACCACTTTGCTGTATTTCTGTTTGGAGAATTTGTGGAGTAACTTCCAAGCCAGACAGTAGGAAGGCAAGAGTGTTACTGACAGTACAAGCTTTGGCATCAAACTGCCTGGTTCAAATGTCAGCAGTAGCATTTGCTAGGTGGAAGACTTGGGCAAGCTTATTCATCCCTGGGTGTCCCGTTTTTCTCATCTATAAAATAATGGTTATAACAGTACCGTTAACTGCCTACTAATTCTTATTAGGATTAAATGAGACAAGTACTATATAAAGTGTTTCCAACATAGTAAGTACCAAAAAAATGTTAGCTATTACTATTACTACAGTTGGATCTGTAATTCTCAGTATAACTACTGACAAGAGTTTTGACTCTTTTAGACTTTGATTTTTCTTAATTTGAAAAATGAGAATGTTTGCAAAACACTGTAACACTCCTAAAGGGACTTTTGCTAAAAATTAGGTAATAAAGATCCATTTAAGCACTCGCATATGGCACAATAAAAAATAATTCAAAAGATGTGAAGGAGAAAAATAACTATACTCACATTAGAAAGAGCAACATTTTCAGAAAACCTAGGCAACCCAGGAAAAAGGTTAAAGAGTTCAAACAACTAGAGATTTCTTGCCCTGAGAAGAGAAATTGTGGTGAGAGAGAGGAGGATACAAAATCTGAGCTTTGGGATTTAGCCTAGACCCCACTTGCTGCTATGGGTAGACAGTTAAGAGAAGTTGCTCTCTTTTCTTAACTTGTCTCGAAGTTTGGAAATTAGTTTTCTTTCCAGTGTTTTGAATTCTAAAGCCTTGGGGGCAAGAGTCTGGGAGAAATTAAAACTTGGTAAATACAGTGTTTAAAAGCAGGTTCTTGCCTGGCCTTGGTGATTAATTACACAGAGGCAGGCTAAATAAATTGGACTAATGGTTCTCTGCAGATCCCGGAGTCCTTGGGGCTGCAGTAATTATACTGATGTTACTGCCCTTGACCAAGGTGTTGGGACAGGTGACCTGAAACGGTGACTCTCTGCTCCCCACCTGTGTTCCATGCTCAGATGATAAATGTGCACACTGCTGGGCCAGCAGGGTTAGCACTCTGCCTTAGGCTCTGAGAAGTTCCTTCCTCCTTGCTTATTTCCTCTGATCCAAGAAAATTCCAGTGTAGAAGGTCTTCCTTGCTGAGGCTGGTGTACCCTGAAGGAATCTGAGCCTCCACCTGGCTATCTAGCTGATTCTCAAAAAGGGCATATGCCAACTTATCTAGTTTATTTTCCCCTCAAATATTATTTTATCTAGGTCATACCTCACATTCACCATTGAAATAATAAAGGGATAAAGGAGGAGGTAACAACAAACCTTCTCTCTCAGTGTTCATGGAGATAAATGGCAGCTCATGAGCAAGACGGTGGCATGCTTCCTGCAGTACATTATTTCCCCCCTCTAGGTGTCATTCAGGCCTCCCTGGGTGATGCAAATGGTTAAGCGCTGGGCTAGTAACCGAAAGGTTGGCAGTTCAAACCCACCCAGAGGCAACTTGGAAGAAACACCTGGTGATCTACTTCCAAAAATCAGCCATTAAAAACCGTATGGAGCACAAAGCTCCCCTGCAATACCTGGTTGTTTAAAGTCAGAGTCTACAAAGGCCTGACTTCTCAGCCTACCCATACCTTTCTCCTGCCCAATGCCATGCAGATAGTCGACCCGAACTGGAAAAATCCCAGTGAATTCTTTTTGATAATTTTTTTGTTGTTGATTGTATTGAGAATATTTGGATAGTAGAGGGATTTGGGAATTTATTTTTCTCATTCTAACTTGACTGCTGAATAGAAATACCTACACCCTTCAGTCAAGGGATCAGATGACATGACGTGACACAGCTGACTCACTCACATTTATAGATCAATATTTTCAGGAGAGGGGAGGCAAGAGAGTTCTCCGCATCCATAGCCAACACTAATTATGCTTTTTTCTGTTCTTTTTCTTGAGTTATTCTCCAGAATAATTGTGGGGTCTGGGTGGGAGAAGGAGTCCCTGGGTGGCACAAATGGTTAAGCACTTGACTACTAACTGAAAGGTTTGGCAGTTCAAACCCTCTCAGACGCACCTCTGAAGAAAGGCCTGGTGATCTGCTTCCAAAAGGTTATAGCCTTAAACACCCTATGAAGCAGTTCTACTCTGACATTGGTATAGAGATATTTGAATTTTTGAAACACTGTCCCGAAGTAGAGGTTGGGGCCTTGGTCCTGT